TGTAATACACACACACACACACACACACACACACACACACACACACACACACACAATTTTGTAAAGCTGTGTGGGGGTTGGAGAGATGGTTCAGAGGTTAAGAGTACTGGCTGCTCATCTAGAGACTCAGGTTCAAGGATCTAGGTTTGATTTCTGGAACCCATGGGGTGACTCACAACCGTGTATAATTCCAGTCATAGAGAAGCCAGTGCCCTCTTCTGGCCTCCATGGGCGCTGCAAGCACAGTGCACAGACATACATGTAGGCAAAACACCCATATACATACAAATAAAAATCAAGGAAAAAGTAAAACAAAAATGTGTGTAGACCTGGCTGTCCTGGAACTTGCTCTATAGGCCAGGCTGTCCTTGAACTCACAGAGATCCACTTGTTTCCCAAGTGCTGGGGTTAAAGGTGTGCTCTGAACTGAAATTTTTACTAAAGCATTTCTAGGCATTTAACACCCTTAGGAGGGGTGGGGTGGGGGTGGGAGGCTGGAGAGGTGGCTCAGCCATTAAAGGCTAGTCTTACAACCAACTTAAAGAGTTCGGTTCCCAGCACCCACCGTTGTCTCTCCAACCACCTTTTTGTCTTACACCGCACCAGCACATGTATTTCTAAATTCTATATAGAAATAATCTTAAAGAAGAAACCAAGAAAAAAGAAAAGAAAGAAAGGAAAAAAGAAAAAAGGAAAGAAAGGAAGAAAGGGAAAATTTTTAAAAAATAAAGGAAATTTTCTCTCCTATCAGAGCACTAAATAATACAATAGCATTTGTGGGTGGGATTTGATATCTTCCCTTATCTTGAAGGAATGTTGTAGTACAATACACATAGCTGTAGGTGGCCTCCGAATACTGTAGGAGGGAGACAGTTTTGGGAGACCATAGGCCAGCAACAGCAAAAAAAGGTTACCCAAGGACCAATTTTGTCACCTGTGCAAACCTTGGTGTTTAGGAGCTCAGTTTCTCCGTGTCCATTTGGGTGGGAAAACTCCTCTTTTAGAGTAGTTGTGAGAATTGGATGAATAGCATGTGCTGTATGGCATGTAGAAGAAGGTCACATATCGTGGCCCTGCTTACTATGGCTTGATGATTCTTCCCTTGTGCCCAGAGTCTAGTCATGTGGGGTCAGGGCTTCTTTCAGCTTCCTCCCTTGCTTCTTCAAAACCCTAAATACTAAGGCTCTGGAAAGTCTTTATTGAGTTGGTGTTAGTCTTGATTCACCACAGCAATGCTTCATATTCATATCTTGATTAGATCGAGTGGATGGGTGAATTTTAGAAAGGACTGTTCGGTCCAGTTACATAGCAGTTGACGCTCTGGCTTGCATGAATGATTCAAATAGGAATCAATAATTGCAACTTTATTAGGACTAGGGATAGAGTTCAGTTGGTGGAGCACTTGGCTGGCATATATGAAGTCCTGGGCTTGATTCCCAGCTCTGCATAAACTGGTAAGATTGTACTCTGGCCTTGAATACTTACCAAGTTGGAGGCCAGCCTGGCCCACAAGAATTATAACTTTATTATTCTTAAGCCGCTCTCGTCTATAAGATCTGACATCATACTTAACGACAATGGGACAATGAAAGCATTTTCTGGAACCTGAAGTGAAGATGTCACCAGCTCTGCCTTCCTTTTTCCTTCTTATATTTTCCACTACTTGTTGTGGGATATTTGTTTATATGGTAAAAAATATAAGGCACCTTGTGATTGGCTTAATAAAAAGCTAAATGGCCAATAGTTAGGCAGGATAGACTAGATGGGCAGAGAGATACGCTGGGAGGAGGAAACTAGGTGCAGGATTTCACCAACGACACACAGAGAGGAAACAGGAGTTGCAATATGAAAGGGAGTTAACACCACGTACAAAACATAGATTAATATAAATAGGTTAATTTAAGTTATAAGAGCTGGTTGAGGCAAGCTTAAACTAAAGGCCAAGCTTTCATGATTAATAGTAAGTATCCATGCCATTATTTGTGAGCTGGAGGCAGATGAAAAGGCTTTCCAACATCTACTCACCTGGACCAATCTCTAACAATCTCATCTGGCCCTTCTTTTGAATAAATGTCAAGACACAGACTTAGATAGAAAGTGGCTCTGACAATATCGAACACTTATTGGTTCATAAGATTTGGAAATTCTATAGCTTCTCTGGCTTCATGAAGATGCCCAGCGGTTGACTCTGTTGGGCAAGAGGTGTTCTCTTTTAATTATTCTGTCAGAGATGTCCTGGAGAAGATTATAATGGACTGGGCTATCTTTAGATGAGTCTATCTTCGACACAAGTACAAAGACAAAAAGGATGGGACATGTTGGTTGGTCAGTTTGTGCCCTATGGCCATACTTGGGTTGAGGGAAGAAATATATCATTATTTACAGTTCTCTTTGAACCAAGTGAACCGAAGGAGGGTACAACCTATACCTATCTATCATTCACCCCCTTGCTTGTACTTATTCTGTTGACAGATAAAGTTATTGTGACCGAATGCCATACTGTTTGTCTCTGGCATTGAGACCTGAGCTGTCCTTTCAAGCCCTGCTATAGTGTAGCCTCTCTGTCTGTCTGTGGCATTACATACTTTCTACTTGCCAACAATCCATTTTGGTGTCCCCCTGAAGTATGTCCCTCCCTTCACTAACAAACCTTCAATAATACATGGGTGAGGGCAAGCCTTGATGGACTATGAAGTAAGTGACACGTTCAGTTTCTGACATCATTAGCATTTATTCTTCATGTAGTGCTCCAAGAACAGGAAGTTAAGTTTCACAGTTAATACACTAGGGCAAATAACTTAGACTTTGTATTGCTGGAGGATGGATTTTTTTTTTTAAACTTTCAACTGAAATGAATGCTTAAAGAAACTGAAAAACAGCCTCTGCCAGAGAATACTCATAGAGAAGTTTAGAACAGGCAGATATTCGAAAAAGGAGCCACACACCCCTTTCATCATGGACTGAAGGCCCTAAGCCTTCCTGGAGAACGCTGCCTACAGCAGTAGTGACTATTTGTTGCAGACAAGCTTACAAACATGGTGCTGATTTGGACTTGAAAAAAAGAAAACAAGCAGCACCATGTAAAGATTTAGACATTAGCAAGGACAGCTGTAGGAATCCCCTGCTCTCTTACAACTGAAGTCAAAGCAAAAGAAGAAAACCCCTGGATCAGAAGTTTTGTGAAGTTTTGAATGAACCTTTCTGCCTATGATAACCACCATTTGGCCTAATCATGACTCTCCTTTCAACTTTTTTTTCACTTCCCTTCCCAGCTGTTGCTCATAGCAACAGCTCAACAGCTTAGAGCCTTGACCAGCCATAACTGCCAAGCTTCCTCTTCTGGTGTGAAGCTACACCTTGGGGAACCTAATGGCTTCTATCACCAGCTTAATGCTAATCACGTATTCTAGGATCCTTCCTCCTACTGTGACAAGACACAATGATGGGGGCAACTTAAAAAAAACAAGAGCTTAATTGGGTTTCCAGTTCCAGGGTGTTGATATCCACAACAGTGGAGCAGAGGTGTGGTGAGGAGCAGCTGAGAGTTCACATCTGGGAATGGCTCAAATCTTTTGAAACCTCAAAGTCCACCCCTCCAGTGACACACCTCCGAATCCTTCCCAAACAGTTCCACCACTA